TGTTTAGTCCAGGCAGAGCACAAAGCTCCTCTGGGTTAGGAATTGCCCTGTGAAAGAGCTCCCAGAGCCTAGGCACCAAAAGCTGAATGGATGAAAAGTCACATAAAAAAATATCTGTGATTGTCTCTTTGTGCACTGAATGCTGTTACTCTCATCTGGTCTCACCAGAGTGACCTGCCCTGGGTTTAAAATTCTGGCTTTTTAAAGAAGTCAGCTACTCCACATGACAGCTGACTTTGAACAGTCAGCAGCTCAAATATGGTGCTTCTCTATGCAATTTAATAGGATTTTTAAAAAAGAAAAAAAAGTCAGATTGATTTAAAATTGCTCATAGCCAGATATCTATCAAAAGAAGGGAGAAACTCAAAATAGGCAGAGTTTTACTTTGGAGTTTCATAAGTTCTTGTGCCTCAAATATCATTCAGTTTATTCTGGAAGAAGGAAGTTTTTAAATTTTCTCTCTGAAAAATTGGTTTTTAATCTCCAAATATTAAGGATAAAAGGCTCTTCAAAAATGTTCTAGGAACTTTATTTTTCAACAGGAAAGATTTCCTTCTTTCACTTCTTGTTTATGAAGAAAACAATAATTCTGTTGCTCAAAAATTTTAAGAAAAACCTGAGGCAGAGAAGGAACTTGGAAAATATTAGAAAGATGAAAGTTTCAGAAAGATCCTTGTGACCCGAACCTAAAAAATATTACTAGAAACCTTAATGAATTCTTAATGATTGCACATCACAACCTATAATCTCAGGAGGATGAACCCTTCCTCTGGAGTTCAGAGAAGACATTCAAGTCACATCTTGCTTGAAATGCCTTAGCAAATTATAAGTAAATAAAGACATGTTAGGAACAGCAAGAAGTGTCATTCAGCTTTTGTCATACTGGTCGTGGTAAATCCTACTGGTTAAATAATTTAAAGAATAAAAGAAATCTTACCTGGTAATGGAAAGAAGGGAAGAAAAATTATGAAAAATCAGCAAAAAATTGAAAGTGTATATATATATATATATATATATATATATATATATATATGTGTGTGTGTGTGTGTATATATATATATATATATATGTGTGTATATATATATATATATATGTGCACACACTTTACTTTTTCTTTCTTTTCCTTCTAGTTCATGAAATATAATATAAATATCATTTATATAAGAAAAGATAAAGAGGTGATCAATTCACAGCCTATCACTGGCTCCAGCAGGCAAAGTGATTTTTTTATCTAGCAAAAACACCCAGCACATAAAACAGAATAAACCAATCATTACACCAAGTGACTGGAAGTAAAAGCTAAACAGGTACATATTAAAATATGGGCAAAAGTTAAATGGAGGAGATAATTCAGCAGGGTAACAGTTTGCCTTCAAGTTTGCTTTTGAGAATAAGATGATTTTCTAGAAGAGATATGTTAGGTATTTCAGGCAAGACAAAGAAATGCCTGGAAAATGGATTTACCAAGTGGTGCCCAGTGGTGGCTCCTGAGGGCTTGAACTCCTTTCTGTCGTGGCTCTGAGCCAATTCCAGCCCCAAGTGAGGTGTGATGAGACTGCTGGGTGCAAGCAGAGCTCTGGGAAGGCTTGGCAGAAAAACAAAGGCAAGAATAAATCCCCAGGAAAGTGATGGCTTTAATTATCATTCAAAACACCAAGGTAGAAGCTCAGGATGTTAAACACTGCCTGGCTGGCTCTGGTACTGCACTTGGAGGGTAGAGATGAATCTCACACCATCTCTGACCTTGGCAATCTCCAGGATGAGAACTTGGGGCAAGGTGGTGTGAGTAAAATGCATCCCCAGAGAGGGGGGAGGGTGACAATTAACATGATGAGTATGAAACTATAAACAAAGCCAAGCTGTAAGGACAGGTTTGTTGTATATGAGGGAAATATTCCTTCCTGCAGATGGCTGTGGGGTGCAGGATGGTGGAGGCTGATCACCAGCAGAGCATTTTCACCTCATGCTTTCTCTGCTTCCAAAGACATGAGCACTTGAATACTCACAGAATCCACAGAATTCACAGAATGACCAGGTTGGAAGAGACATTCAAGATCATCGAGACCAACCCAGCCCCAAAGCTTAAAAACCATGGCACTGATGCCACATCCAGTCTTGTTTTAAACACATCCAGGGATGGTGACTTCACCACTTCCCCAGGCAGGTCATTCCAGAACTTTATCACCCTTTCTGTAAAAAACTTTCTCCTAATGTCTAACCTAAATTTCCCTTGACACAGCTTGAGAATGTGTCCTCTGACTGTCCTGAGATATTTGTGACCACTGTAGAAAGGGAACCTTAGAGAAGCAGCCAGCACAGGTTTGTTCAGGGCTACATAATCACAGGGCAGTGCAGGCAAATTGGATTGGGGAATAAATTCCTGGGAGGGCTCCACCTGACTCCAAGATCTATTAATGTGTGAGACAGCTGTGACAGCTTCCATTGTTAGTTGTTACTGAACTAGCAGTTCATGAAGACAGGAGAGAAGCAACACTAGCTGAAATCTGTCTAGGACAGGAATTAAGTCATAATAAAGTCATAATAAAATACTAATTACACCTGAAGCATCATTTTAATAATGATAATTCAGATTATGTTAATGTACTATTCTCTTTAAACATGCTAACTACCTGTTCAAATTGGAGAAGGTCAGTGCAGTGTGTGGCTGGCTCTCATCAATTTTTTTTCTTATAACCTGGAATTCACAGTCTTGGCTGACATCCATTTTCCTTTTCCAATCAGCAGTTTACATTTTAAATTCATTCATTAGGTAATAAAAAAAATCTTTAATTAAAAAAAGTAATTTATTTTTAATGACTATAGGTCCTATAAACTGACAAAAAGTATTGCTTTAACCCATTTATTAGAGTCTGAGTGATGTGTTATCTCCCTGGAATGCTAAAGATGATCGTTATCAGCTTTGTTTACTCAGCACACACTGAGGATTTTTGGCTGTGTGGAGATGCTAGTGCCCTTTATTATTTAAGCACTGGCTACAAGACCTGCGTGGTGACTGCAAGCAGTACCATTAAGTTTGATATCTGTTTGATTAAGAAACATTTCTTCTCTGATAAGAAAGGGCCAGGGTAAGAACTAATATTCTAAAGGGTTGCTTGTGGTGCATTCGGCAGAGTTTCAGTGTTTGTCAGGAGCTGAGGGAAGCAGGAGAGTAAAGAAAAGTGTTTTGGCTAAATGAGTATGGTTTTTTCCCCACATCTAAAGGAAGAAAGATTTGCTGTGAAAGAAAGACTGTAGGTATTGGCTGATTTTTTCATACAGCATGTTCTTGTCTTCTTCCATGTCCAGGGTTCATTCCTTTGTATCAAGTGAATAAGGCAGTAGATTTGCATAGCAGGGTGGGGAGAAGATGGGGAAGGGAAAGGAGGAAATAAATTCAGACTGGCCTGCCTTGGAGGGAATTTGAGGTCTTAATATCTGATATTTGCTCTGTAATTACACAAGAGCCCCTTCCTTGCTGCTGTGTGTAATAGCACAATCAAGCCAAATTTCATATTCTTGCAGATATTCTTTTCTGGAAATGGGGAAAATTATAGTTTTTAATGGTTGCTGTTCACTTTAAATTTCCATTCACTGTTTTTAATCACGACTTTTCTATTTTCAGGTTCAGAGAAAGCATTCCAGTGTCAGTCACAGAAGTTCAACATTTATAGAAAATTATTGTGAATGTAAATCACATCCCGAGTGAATACCTAGGAAACATCAGCTCATGATGAATGCAAAATATCAGAGATTAGCTCTAGAACTGCTCATCTGAATTCAGAAATAAAACATTGTAAATAACCATTACAACTGTCATGCATTTAGCAAAGCTTCAGCATTATCTGCTTCATGAATTGGGCCTCGTCAGCATTTAGGAGAAAATGAGATGGACAAAAAGACAGAGAGTGAGCAAGTGCGGTACTGATTTGCCAGGAATTTTCCTTCATTGGCAGAGGACTGTGAAGTATAAATGAAGTTATGATCATGTCCAGTGGTAATTTGTGACACCATAAAATCAAGTTCATTGCCTGGCATGTTTGGAACATCAAGATTAGGCATTTTCTGTCCAGTTTGCTTGATTTTAAATATTCCTAAGAGTTGTGGCACTGGTGTGTTTCAAGTAACTTAGGCTGGAAAACAAGAAACACTCTTAAAAATGCTCTACACAGTTGCCCAATTTCTGTGGAAATTGCTTTCTGAATTTAAAGTGTCCTTTTCACTGCAAAAGTTTGCACATTATCAAATAGTCCCACTCTGAAGGAATATTTTGGGACCTCTCTCAGCAGAGAGCTTCCCAAGGAAAAGGTTTTTCTGACACAGTCCTTTGAATCAAAATTAATCTATTAATCTGACTATGAAGAGGTGATCAAAAATGGGTAAGCACTAAGTAGAGAAAGGAGTATATTCCAGCGTATTTTAACTCTGTATTCATTGGGTTTAACATCTTTCTTGAAATCAGATTTACATATGAAAGAACTCCATTCCCTCAGTGTATAGGAAACTGAGACATGTAAATATGCAGCTTCATTTTCAATTAACCTGACCCAAAAGCTTTCAGCTCAGAAAAGGAGCAATTATTCCAGCTGAAAACTAGAAATGGAAGCTGTCCCTTGTGCAGGGCACATCTGATTTCTGCACCATCCCTCCCACTCATCTCATGGTGCCTCTTACAGCTCCTCAGGACACAGATGCCACTGTCCCTCTGCCAGGTTTAGCAGATTTACCTCAATCCAGCATTAGTTTTTATAAAAGGCCTTTTTCCTAGTCCTTCCCCCACCTTCTCTCCCCTTTTACATATTTCAAAACATCAAGATCCATGCTGGTTTTTCAGCAGAAGTGCTTGCTCTCTGGTGGTGTTGGTGATGGTGGTGTTACCAAGGATACCATGATATGTTTTACTGAAGATGGTAATAACTCTTTATTTTTTATTTTCTGGACCAAAGTAATGTTTTGCTTTCCAGTCAAGAGCTGATCAAATGATAGCGCAACTTCAAGTTGCTAAGGAAACCAGACTACAAAGACAAAGGTAAAATATTTATCTAATATCTTCCTTGCAAAAGCATATTTTTTGTCTGTATGCTCTCAGAATTGTATCTTAAGCAGGTAACATCAGTTCATAAACTGAATCCAATAATAACTGTAGCAAAGTATTATATGGAACAATAAAAATGTTTTGTTGCAGTAATCTCCAAAGACTTCACATGGTCATCAGATAGTAAAATTTAATATATAAATAGTAAAGAAATCAGTTGCCTACTTGCTTCTCTGTCAGTGTTGATAATCCATTTCACAAAGAGCTTTATGTAATATTGACTTAGAAGAACCTGCAAGAGTTTTTGCAGTCACACCTTTTGATGTGGAATATATTTTTATTGGTCCTACAACCAAATGACCATTAAAAAAAACCACCAAAAAAATCAAACAAAATCAGATATTGGATGTTAAATCTGTTTTCTTTAACTGAAACAGACAGGAACTTTCAAGATAGTTGTAGAAAGTAGCATTTAGGAAGACTTCCATGGGCATTTCCAGTTTGTTTAAAAGCAAAACTTCCCAGGTGAAGCTGCTGGCTGGTACAAGGGGCTGTAGCTCAGCATCTCTGAGCCTCCTCAGGGCTTTGTGCCAAATGAGAGACTACATTTGAGGGAAGTTGACAGAAAATGATGGATAGAAACGTTCAGCAGACAACAAGGCAATTGTGTCATCATGAATTAGTTCAATGCAGCAGTTAGCAAACATCATTTGGACTGGACAAGAAGACTTCCTCTTTGTTCATATCAAGAGGGGCAGAAAGCTGATTATACTTGTGGTTCCATCTGTCTACATTTGTCCAGTTAAATTATGTTGAAGGGGTTTTGTTTGGGTTGGTTTTTTTTGGTTTTGTTTTTTTTGGAGTGTGCAATACAATCAAAGCTTGTTAGCAGGAGAATTTGACAAGAGAGGAACCCCTCAGCAGAGTGATAGCACAAAAAATCCCACAAGCTGCTGTTCTTGTTTGAATTTTAAGCTTCATTGACTTGAGCATGGTTTCATGGATCTGAACAGCAGGAATATTTTGTCCCATACATATGAAATATCCCAGCTATATTTTCGTGTCTCCTGGCTGAGTGTTTAGACCTTGCCAGCCATCAAACACCAGTTAACTGAGATGAACACCAACAGAGATTGATTAATGACATAAACCCCAAATAATGTTCAAGATAGGTGAGATGAATCATGTCCTGAATTGTCACAGTTGAGATGGAGACAATACAAAGCAACACTCCATTTTCAGAAGGCTTCAAAGCATTTTTATTATAGTATGCATGCTTTTTTTACATTCTTACAAACTCATAAGTTTACTCATTGGTCACAAGAGACAAACAAAGTATTTATTGGAATAGGCAGTTGCAGGGTTCTCTTATTTATCCTTCTTTTTTCTTGGTTTCTATGTCAATGTCCTTAGTAGAGAATTCTTTCGGGGTAAACATGGATCCTCTTATCAAACTTCTCTCTGGCTCACAGAAATCTCTGTAAAACCCCTTCCACACTGAGTAGTTCTCTGTTCAATGCAGAGGGAACCCAGACAATAACCAAAATGAGATGCCAGGCACACAGATTTGCTGAGATGAATCTCGGTTCTGGTAGGAGACAAATCCTGTCCAACCCCAAGCAAAGGCAGAGAACAGCATCCCTGAGGCTGTGGGATGTGCAGGAAACCTTTCACAGCAGCTGGATCCCAAAGCAGATGCACCTGAGCACAGGTGAAGGCTCTGGGATGCTGCAGGAAAGTGGGCACACAGATTTAAATGAGCTGGAGGTGAGAGGGCATTTAGGGAGAGGCTGCCTCTGATTGCTGTGTTGGACCCACAGCTCAGAGGAGGATTTGCTGTGTTGGACCCACAGCTCAGAGGAGGATTTGCTGTGTCTCAGGTTGTGCTGTGCCAGGCTGAGCACGGAGCAGTAGCAGACACTGCCTGCTTTAAACCAGCAGGGCACCTTTCTGTGCCCTGCAGGACAGGTGTGCTCTGTGCCACTCCAGGCTTTCATATTCTTCAAGGAAATGGGATTATCAGACTTCCCTGCAGAGAAGCAATCAAGCATAAAACCATCAGGCTGGGCCCAAGAAGGAGAATATGTAAGATGTGCAGCTATTTCACTGGTTGGATCTGGGAATATGCCTCTTATCTGTCCCACAAGAGGTAAAACAGCAATGTTTTGTTGTGGTATGAGAATTAAAAAAAAAAAAAAATATTTCAGAGCTGGGATTTGCATTTAGGTTGTCAGAAAATCAGCTTTGCAGTGGGGTAGAGCTTGAATCCTTGTTTACTTGCTCCCCTGCTCAAACTTAGTGGCACTGAGGCTTGCACAGGGTAACATCTCTAGTGTGACATGTGTGTCCCACTATATCACTGCTGGCAGATTTCCATCCCCCCAAAATTAGATTTCTGCTTCTTCCCTCCTTATCACAACTCTGTGTCTTTTTTTTCCTTCTCACAGCTTTTATCTCTTAACCTCAATCTGCATTTTCCTTCTCAGTGTTTCATTTTCCTTCTCTTCATGGACAGCTTTTGTGTCCATCACATGCCTTGGAGGAAGATAAGAGATGAGGCTCTTTATTGTGAGCAGTGAATCCAACAAAAAGTAAATTACCAAAAAAATGACAGATTCACCAGCGTATTTAAGATGAAGTCTAAACAATTATCAAGGGCCTTGCAATTAATTTCTTCATGTCTCCACCTGCAGCTTGTTAGCAATGCACCTGATTCCAGCATGAGGGGATGTGGATTCCTATTAGAGATTGTCATGCACTTGTGTAGGCACATGAATTTTTCATGCAGATGCTCCTATGGTTGGGTGATTGGCTCAGCAGAAATATTTGCTTCATCACTAATATATTAAATAGGCTGCAGACACTAGCAAAACCTGGCTTGAGAAAGAGAAAAAATCTGGCACAGGCTGAAGTCTGTCACATCTAAATGACAGCCATGTAATAATTACTGCCATGAAATAATGCAACTTTACCTTCTCTTCTGTTATTTCTTAAATTAAAAATGATGAAGTGCTGCAGCAACCAAACCCTATGTTAACCTAATATAGTCTCATGTCAAAGAGAAAAATTTTACCAGATAAATAATAAATCCATTTGTTTCTTTGTTTCCTGATAAAAATCAAGACTGTTTGGTCCATAATTGAAGGTCAGAATTGACACTGCACTTCCAGAGAGTACAGACATTGATTGCTAGAGGGGGTTTTTAGCAAACAGACCTTAATAGATCAAGTCAATATCTACTTCAACCTTTTCACACACTGTTGATGCTTTTGTGAGAGGTAGAAGAGAGTTGAAAAGAGTGTCCTTTCTATCTGGTTATAATGAATGGTTTTGGTTGGGTTTCTTCTGTCTTAACAAAGCAAGAGCAGAAGTTTTGGGTGACGTTGCCATGGTTGTTCCAGTCTGTTCACTTCTGGAAAATTGAAAATTTTATATATTGGTAAATTTACCTATTGGTACCTATTTACCAATTTTTGGGAGCCACAAACCTAAACTCTCTGCTTTAGACTCGCTCATATGGACAACAGAAAAATCCAGGCAGAACCAGAGCATGACTCAGCCCAAATCAGATTCTCCACAATTACCTGCCTTCACTGGCAGCACAAAGAGCAGGAGCTCTGCAGCTCTCAGTGGAGCAAGAGATCTCCCAGTTGTGAAGATTGGAAGCTCTAAAGTAGAGGTCAGATCACCCCCTTTTGCTGTCAAGAAAATATCTATTAACTGGAAACAGAAGACCAGATCTGGGGCTCACAGAATTGTGACTTTCAGGCTGGAAATTCCATAGAGCAGTGCCTGAGATGGAGGATGTTTGTGAGTCTCAAGAATCTTATTTTAAAGCTGTTTTCACTCTAACCTCAGCATCACAACTGCAACTCTCTTACATACAGGTTACAGATTTCCCCCTCATAGTTTTCATATTTCTCAGAAGACTGGCTATCTTTTTAATCTCAAAGAAACTCTATTACCTTTTAATTAAAATAAGGTTTTGGTTATATCTGAAAAGGAAATTGGGTGTATTTTATCTGGATACATAACACAAGAAAGCATGACAGCTTCTAGGATTCATGTTATGGCTAAACTACCATCAAGTGTCAAACACATTCTAGTTTTGTGCTGACAGATTTCATCCTGATCACCTGCTCACGTTGCACACTGGAGTAGCTGGAACACAAATATATTTTTGTGTGGCCATCCTTAGATCAATACACAAGTTGGGTGATCATTTGGTTTGGCTCCAATGAATTCCTGGCACCAGAACCCAAACTCAGCTGTCCCAGGCAGATGCAGTTAAAATTTGGCTTTTGTCATCTCTCAGCACTGGTGGAGATGGATTGAGCAGATGGGATCACAGGGTTGGGCTCCTCCTCCTCACCTGTGTGTTATTATCTCTGTGTTTCCATCCAAACACTGAAATTTCTGCTGGAAACACACATTGCCTGGAAATGGGTACAAATCTGGTGCTGGGAACCTTTCATGGTAATTAGTCTGAGCACGGTGGTGACTGAATTCCTCAGAAAGCCTTGATTTGTGTTCACCCCTCCTAAGCATTTCACAGATTTTTCAGCACCATTTGATTAAATGTTTCTTCAAGATCACTGTTCTTCAAAAGGATTCCCATGAGAATGTCTAAACTCCCAACCAAAATATTTGCATTTGTTTTTGGACAGCAAAAATCAGTGACAATAGACTTAGGAGTCATCAATGAACAGTAAAAGAGAACATTAAAAACCTCCTAATGCAACAGATGAAAAACTCTACAAGTTAATCATCCCAGTTATTAAATAAATTTCTATAAACAACCCATGTCTTTAAAGACTTGGGATCAGTTCAGAAAGAGATCAAATAAAAGGAATCAATTTAAACATAAATGACATTCAAAATAAATGTTTTGACTAGTGAAGTCAATGCAGAATTGATTAAACAGCTCAGAAGATGGAGGTTGCAGCTTACCAGGTCTAGCTTCTGAGAAAATATTTCTCATGCTACTAAACCTTCTGTTACTTCATTTTTACCCTGGTATGATGAGGCAGATTTATTTTTTATTTACAATGAGGTGCTAAAACAAGATCATGGCTGGAGCTGATGCTGCACATATGAGCTGTGCCCTGGAAATTTCTATTTAAAATATTGTCAAAACAACCTATAGATGATTTATGGATCAAAACAACCATATTTATAAGTTCTGACATACCTGTATTTAAGTTGATTGTAGGCAAAGAACATGACCAATTGGATTCAGCTTGGAGAATATTAACAAAATAAAATTTAAAAAGTTAAAATTATGTAAAAAAAAATTATCAGCTCTGAGAGAGAAATACAGAATATCTGGTGGGATTTTTTTGAAGTCCATAAGTGTAAGAAATTCCAGCAGAATGAAGACATTTTCAGGAATTTTATATACTTCTATATCCTTGGAGAGGCATGATAGTTAAGTGATTATAAGGTGGAAGTGGCAAGCTGCTGGGAGAAAGTAAAATTTTTTTTCAGGAGAAGAATGTCTGAACTCAGAGGGAGACCTACCTTTGCTGAGGAGGTGAACACAAAGCTACAGCAAACTTTAGAAGCTAGAAATAGGTGTAAGGTTAAATTTAAAAAAAAAAGTCCACACAAAAGTAAGCTGAAGTTTCAAATGACAGCTGCAGCAGTTGCCAGTTACCAAATTTTGAACTAAATTCTAGTCTGGGTGAATGGAGATCCAGAAAGCAAAGTGTAATCAGTTACAGATTTCTGGGTCCTGTTAATTGGGCTGGAGATAATTAATTATTGGATTTTGATTCCACCATGATACAAAGATAGGGCCAAAAAAGGGCTTTGGTGTTTAAAAATAACATTTTAGGTCTTCAGGACAGGTTGGGTATGGGCAGAGTGGGAAAGGAGAGGCTGTGAGGCCACAGATATTAGCCAGGGTGTGGGTACAGACCCAAGGCAGCAATTTCCTCCACTTTGAAGTATTCTTCTGTTTGTTTAGATGGTAAAACAACTTTCCAAACAGTGCTGTGCCCAGTGGTGAATGCAAGGGGGTAGTCCTGACTCAGTGCTGGAATGCATTGTGTGAATTGCATCCCCTTGTCACTGCTGAACCTCACCAGGACACAAAAATACAGACTGAGCCCTCTCCTGGTTATTGAACAGATACATTAATCCACTGTTTTTATCTATTCCTTTTCACATCATAGATTTTAAGGAAGGGTTTGAAACAGGACAACAAAATTTGATTGCAGGAAGCTCCTCTTAGGCCTGAGTGGGCAGCTGGGCTGAGTTCTTTGGAGCAGGGTGGCATTTGCTGTGAAGGACCAATGTGAGCAAACTCCTTGGAAAATGTGATTACTTACCTTGCAGTTCTAGAAGCAAACACTTTTGAAAATCTGTCCTTATTGTAAATGTCAGCGTCTTGTTAATGAATACAAGTGTTTGTGGGGAGGAAGGAGAAATGAAAAAGGGTGTTTGCTGTGCATATTCACAGGGCTGAATTTCAGCCTTAAAGAGCAAATAAGTATGGCTCTGCTAAGTTTGATTGTTATTGCTATATTCTGGTCCTTAATAGAGCAATATGCCTAGAAGAAATGGAAAAATAATTGGCTATATTTGATCCTGTGTCATCAATCATTCCCCCACCCATCCATCCATCCATGCATTTAATGAGAACCACTGAAGTTTCCCTCGGAAGTAATAAACAAAAATACATCCTGCAATTAATTCAGGCATTGCAAAATGTCCACTTAATTTTACTGGGTGTACTAAATCAATTCTATGCTTCTCTCAGTGCATTGAAAGGAGCTGGCTGGCAAGAACTTCATCTGTTATTAACTCACAATGCAAATGAAGTTAATGCCTTTTTGCTATGAATTGTCCTCTGCTGTTAAACCTGAAAGTCAACGGGATGGAGGAGGAGCTGGCTCCTTGTAAAATACAATAGTTATATTCCATTTTTCACCTGCAACCAAGTCCTAGTAAAAGCTCTGATTTCCAGCATCCTTTGCTGCGCTTCACTTTTTGAAATAAAAACCTTCTGTTGCTGTTTCAGGTGAAATTCATTCTTTAAGTTCCCTCTGAGATATAACCCTGTGGTTCAGGTAATGTTTCTTTTAGTTAAAAATTACATCTGAACAGTTAAATTTAACTTTTACTTGCATGAATGACAGAAGTGCACTACTAGGCTCTGTTCTAAACATGGGCTTTTCTCAACCTTCACTGGCTTCTTTTTCATTTACATTTCCTGAGTTGATAAAGGCAATGTGGAATACTCTGGTACAAATTTCTGGTATTTTTTTCATGGCATTTTGGATTCTTTTTCTTTTCTCCCCACTTTTATCTTCATTCAGGTTTTAATGACATCGAGTTTCATGCTAAGACAAATCTTTTTGGTTTCATACCTTTCAGCATAGTAATGAGGAACAGATAAGGAAAAGAACCTGGAGTGAGATAAAGTTTCAACGAATAAAACATCTCCAGTTCATTGAAGAGTAATTGACAATTAAAATACTTTAAATGAAAAAGATGTGACTTCTTTGAGTCCCATAAAGATTAATGAGAATATTTCACTTGAGTTTTAAACCCTAAAGCTCTGATTTATCCCTGGTCACCTGACCAGTGTGGTTGAGATCCATGTCACCTTACCTCAAAATTAAAAATATAGGTTTGTAGACCTGCCTTAGTCAAATATTCCTTGTGTACAGTATGAGGAAGTATAGAAATTGAATTTTGGAACTTATTTAATGATTTTTTTTCTTATATGATATTTAATGATTATTTAGGGATGAACCATTTTCAGGAGATGTTTATCTTCTCCATTAGCCTCAGAAGTTGTTGAGAGGTTTTCTTCTCTGCATATCTCCGCTGGCTTCTGGTTCTTATTTTAAAGAGTCATCCATTGCTTAAAGTGATTCCACTAATTAGCCAGAGAAATTGCAGTGACTTGCTGAATACAGGGAGATATGTCCTGATGCTCCCAGCTGAGAATATCAGAACTGCTGATATGTCCCCTGTCACAGCCCTTTCTCCCTTATCCACCCACGCTCTTGATCTCCCAACCCTCCTCAAGAGAGGATTTCTAATAGCTCCTGATGTAGAAATACAAGGACTGATTGCAGAAAAGAAAAAGGACTTTTTCTACAGATTAAATTCTGTCACTCCATTCAAGCAGCTAACCCTGGAATCTAGAATCTTACCCCAGGGGCTAAAACTCCTTGCGATTTGGGGTTGGCTGAAATCCTTCTAAACTCCATTAAATGCATTGACTTGGTCTGCATTGGCCAAGAAAACCCCCTCCTGTGTAGAAAAGTACTTGTATATCACAGGTATTGAATCCACACTTCAAATAACATCTCACAAACTCAAATAAAAAGGAAGAATTGCTAGGAAAAAAATGCTGTTTTCTTGCTTTCTGCTTTGCTTTGCCATCCATTACCATATCAGTCCCCACTTCGTAACTAAATCTTGACAATGTGGCATTTAGCTGACAGGATAAAATCATAATAAATAGACATTAAAAATGTATCAGGATGCTACCAATATTTACTGCATATTAATGAACATTTGCATCACTGGGCTTTGAATGCAACTGGGGACACAAAGACTGCTTCAGCTTAGCTGTGTAAATGATAGATAGGACAAGGGGTAGTGGTTTTAAATTAAAAAAAAAAATGTTTATTCCGTCTAGATATAAATATTTTGCTACAATGGGTGCGGTGAAAGGCTGGCACAGGTTGCTCAGAAAGGTGGTAGATCCTCATCTCTGGAAACATTCAAAGTCAGGACAGATCTCTGAGCAACCTGATCTACATAAAGGTGTCCCTGCATATTGCAGGGGGTTGAATTAGGTGACCTTTAAAGGACCTTTTTAACCCAAACTATTTTTGCTTCTATCATTCTATAGCATTAAAGTTTGAGCTAGTCACTTTTAGACCCCTGTGATGGTTTGGAGGAGCACAAGTACTTGCAGAGGGCTGGATTCTGCACCTGGGCTGGGGCAGTCCTGGTTGCACATTGACACTGGGGGACAGGAGGCTGGAGAGCATCTCCACAGAAGGAGATCTGTGGGTTTGGGTTGATGGCAAGATGAATATGAGTCAACAGTGTGACCTGTCAGCTAAAAAGGACAACTGTAATTACACCCTTTGTCATTTACAGGGTTTTTGAGATAGAATATTGGAGCTCTGTGTAAAAGTGCAAACATGAACAGTTCCAGAAGCACCTTGTCATGTCTGCCAACCCCTTCAGCATGTTTTAGATACATTGCAGGTTATCAGATATCCATAATCCCACCTGTTTGCAGAACTGGCAGTTACTGATGGTGGAAAAAATAAGATCACACACATAAGAAGCCAATCCAATTTTTCTGTTCAAGTTCTGTATATTTGACTGAGAGAGATGGAGCTGCTGATATCTGTTGCCTGACCCAATATGCAAATAATCCCTTGGACGATGAAAAGCCATTGGGATTTCTCCAATAGTCTCACACAACCTTCAAAAAGAGGTCCTGGTTATTAAATATGATCAAAAGTTGCATGAACAACTCAAAAAGGTTTTGTGTTACCTTTAGGGAAAGTGTTGAAAAAGTGGGTCAAACAAGCAAGTCAGGCAGGAGAGAGAGAAAAGTCTGTTATCAACACAGATAAGCTTTGGAGTTTGTTACAAGGTAGGACAGTGAAATCTTTGAAGTGTTTGTAATTGTTTATGTCTTTCAGTTTTTAAATAGACAGATGGAACGCACCTTATTTTCAGGAGGCATAAACCAGGTGCCTTTGGTTTACATCAGCTTTGACCTCCAGGACAGTGACAAGTGTGGTCACAATAGATTTATCTCTTGTGTAGCAGAGTGGGCCACTCGGTGACAGGAGTGACTGGCAGGTGATTTGTGTCTTTTTCATTGACTTGCTGAGAGGGTTATTAGCTCCTGAAGCAGGCAGATGAGACTGCTGAGTGCTGCAGGAGTCAGGTGGGAGCAAGACTAGAATAGGGATTTCCTGTGTGCTTTGTCCCTAGGAAAAAGAGACAGTGCTGTGACACAAGTGATGAGATGGCAGCTGTAGCCCTTCCTAAAAGCACCACTTACCCTTCCTCCCTCTTCCACAGCACATCTGCCACAGCCCTCACCCATCCCTCAGGACAGCCCCAGGATAGACCCAGGCTGCTCTCAGTGCTGCACAAAATTTAGGCTGAGATCTGTGTGATGTTTACTGCTCTGGTCTGGTTCAGAAGGAGGTGATCACTCAAAGGCTGGGCTTGATGACCCTGGAGGTCTATTCCAGCTATTCCTAAATGGTTCTGCGATTAGTCTGGACTGCACTGGAGTTGTAGTTGTGCTCCTTAGAATGAGCCTTCTTCAGGTTCCTCTGCCTTTCTGCAAATCCAGCTGGTTTTGCTCAGCAGCTGAAAATTGTACCTGAGAGCCCAACTAGAATAACCTGGGGTTTGACTGGGTCTTTCCACAATTGTAACACAGGGAGAGTAATATTTAGCAGTTAAATTGCTTTGAAATCTACAAAGAATCTGAAATTTAGAGCTAAAAACTTAGATCTGAATTTTTGCTTTTGCTAGTACAACCCTTTCCCATGAAACTTTTCTACCTCAGTGAAAGTACATTTCCCCCCCCCACCCCGCCACCTTGAAAACTGTATTCTGATGGCTTTTCCATGTTCTCTCTTGCCTGAGAATGGGCTCAAAAAATATGTGACCAAGTAATTCAAAGTTTTTAGACCAGTGCTGTGTGGAAGTGACAGAGAAGCCAAATCAGCTGATGGTAGGTTGTGGTTAATGCATTATCTGGATCTAAAACTGTCAATCTGCAAGCTTGACAGATAAGTTGTAGTCACTGACATTTCCAAATGCTTATGAGAAATGCTCTCCTTGAAAGCATTACCTCAACTTTTTAAAAAAATCTCATGTGTTGAGTGGTTTTCATACTGAAATCTCATGTGTTGAGTGGTTTTCATACTGACAGCCCACACCTGATGTGGTGTTACCAGCTCCAAAAAGAAAAAAAACAAACAGGAAAAGGTCCTCAGCAGCCAGCTCCCAAAAACCCTGCCTGGATCAGGACTGAAATTTAGTTGGGCTGGATGATCTCCAGTGGTCCCTTCCCACCTAAACTGGTCCTTGATTCTGTGTAAATCAATCTCTTAAATGTTTATAACCCAGGAAATTATATTACCTTTTTATGCAAATACAAATTGGTTTTGAGTGAAGAGAAGGAAAACACCACAACAACCTTAGGAATCATCATAACTGATTTTCCAATAATTATATTTAAGTCAGAAGCTGTTTCTGAAGCAGGTGCTAGGTCTACAAAAGTTTATTTCATGGGGTTCTTTTTAAAAGTTACCAATGACATGGTCACCACAAAAGTTTGTTTCTTAATTTAAAACATTTCTATGCTATTAGCCCTGGTCTTTCCATTGATAAAAAACTGTTGCAAGAATGTACCACTGGACAACTCTGCTGGGCTCATGGAATAAGGTGACACCAAACAAAGTTAGGCATAACCAAAAATGGAGTTATTTTACAATGCCAATAGTTGAGCATTTAATCATTCGTCTTTAAAAATGTTTTTGTAAATATTTGAGTAGACTTTATACAGCCTTTATACACACTTTATACACACTTTATACACACTTTCAAATTTGAAAAAGTCTGATTTCTGAATAAAGAACTTCAACTCTTTTTTTAAAAAAATTTGCCTTTTATATTGTAGGTGAGAAATAAAGAGAGACATCAAAAGTCTTGTTTGAGCAAATCAGCCTTGTAGATGGACAATTTCCTCTGTTACTAGCAGTTAAATTAAAAGGTTTTAACTCCAAATACACTGTGGTCAATCCAGAAGTGCTAAAAGTCAAATAAAACCAATTTCTTTGTAGCTCTTTCTAGGGAGACATTGCAGGTAGAAGACGTGTTTCACTTACTGTGATTGAGTGCCATGGCTGATGGATTGGTTTAATGCAGACATCAGCAAGCTTTGCAACTCCTAACAGAAAAGCACTTAGAAAATGCAGGAGAACACTAAAGGCAGCAAAAATGTCATTTGAGATAAATGAGAAGCTCCTAATTAAAAAAAAAAAGAGTAAAAATCAGATTTTTGTTTTTTGTTTGGACTGCAGAATCTTCAATCTCCCAGATTAGCTTAAAAAGCAGTGAAGGCTAGAAGAACACTTCACAGATTTATCTTTCATAGATGCAGAAAAAGGAGAACAGGGCAGAACCACAGAGAACACATCCAGTCAACCACTGGAATGTGTGATGATGCCAAAAATTTTCAAACTAAGTTCTCATTTTTCAGAGTCATTGGGACGATTTAAATAAGGGGGGGGGGGGGGGGGGGGTCCTCCCTTTTTTTCTTTATTTTCTATTCTCCTGTTGTTACCTATTCTGTCAGTATCTGTGAATGCTGTTCATCTCTGGTAGGACTGCACAGCATTCAGCCAAATTCAGCCTCTCTCTGCACAGCTGAGCCTGCAGTGCAGCTGAGCTGCTTTTACTCCACATTCCCCCATGGCTGGGTGCTCCTCAGACCATTCCAGCTCCCAGGTTGCCTGAGCCTGACCTAGAACAGAGACTAGACAGGGTTAAAGGAATAAAGGAGGTATTTATTAAAAAGCCTTTAAAGGATACACCTTGGGCAGTGCAAGAGCCTGGCCAAGATTACACCCAAGATGGACCAAAGATGGACACTGAGTCACACGTTTTCACACTTTATAAGTTTTGGTCCATTTCCATATTGGGGTTAATTGTCCAATTACAGCTCCAGGTTATGCAGTCCCGTCCTCCCAGTTTGCTCTCCTCAATTCTCTGTTGTTTGCACCTTTTGAACTGAAGGTGCAACGGTGTCCTTGGTTCTCAGGCTGGAAAAGGATTGTTTTGTGTGACTGAGCTGTGGGCAGAACTTCCTGATGCTTTATATGAAGTTCAGAGTCACACACTAAGTTCAGAATCTATAAAATATGAAAGATTAAACTTACAGCATCACCCAGACAGTGCCAATCCCTTCAGATCCTCTGTCCGAGGGTTGAGGCCATGCCCCAGGTCTCATCCCTCTGGCTTTTACCTGCACAGCCACAGCAGCACATTCCCCTCTCTGCAGCTTTTCTTTCCATCTCCACTCTGGGACAGCAGCTGGGGAAGTTTCTATGGCTTGGTTGTCCTCCAGTTCTTAAAAACTTCTCCCGTAGTGATATGAGCAAACTAGTCTCCTGCTTTTTCCATTACCCATCATTCTTTTAGTTATTTAGGAGTGCTCTGAAGAGCTCTTCCAGCAAAACAAACAGCAAATTATATATGTCATCACACCAGGTGTTTATCTGCAGTTTAAGAGACAGAATATTAAATTACAAAGGTGTAGAATGGTTTAGGTTGGAAGGGACTTTAAAGATCATCCAGCTCCATCTTCCCCTGGGGGACAGGGCATCTTCCACTAGCCCAGGGTTCTCCAAGCCCCGTTCCAACCTGGCCTTGGATATTTCCAGGGATGGAAAACCACACCATGCCTCTTCTACATGAGCTGATATACCTGGTTCTGCTCCTTACCTGTTGTGCAGGGAAAAAAAAAAAAAAATCATAACGGTTATAATCAGCTTTGAGGTGTCCTGAAAATCCCTGAGGAAGACTGGAATAATGCCCGAACACAAATTCTGAAATTACACTTCAATAATTAAAATAGCTACAGAGGCACAGGGATGAGTTTCACCTTATTCAAGCTTTTAATTTATTTGTACTCCAATTAATTAAATTAAAAAGAAAAATCAGAATGGTAGGATTTAAATGTAGTTTAATAATTCCAGGAAATGTGTAGGCAATGAAAGCTATCCGATTTCTTCTTTAACTCATTTCAAAGAATTTATGCATGTGCTGAAATTACCTATATTTCAGTATTCAAGCGAATACAAATAGTGATAAAAAAGTTGAGCCAATATTAAATTGAATCTCCCATGTACATAAATAAACATTAAGTTTCTGTCACCATGCTATCATTCAGGTTGGTATACAGATGTGATATTTATACCTTAAGGAATTATAATTGCTTCTCTGAGGCTTTTCTTTATAAATCACTCACAGGAGACAGGCTGAAGAAAATTAAGTAAGATAATCATCAATACCTTGCACGTGATCTGGGAAGAAATACATAAACTACTTATATTGATCTAACTTCTATTTAAGTAAACATATTTCTTTGAAGCAGGATGCCTATGCAAATTCCACAATGACAGATGTTTTATTGAAAGGATCCTAATTGAACTGTAGCTGCTTTAGAGTCTTAATTGTAAAGTATCAACTCCCCCATGTGCCTGGGTGGACTTATGGATTTGGCACCATTTCATCACTGCTTTCCCCCCTTTTCTTTTTAGAAACAACAGCTCTGAATGCCATGGTCTCTGTTTTCATTTCCTGGTTTGGTTTGGGTTTTTCTTTTGTATTGAGGAAGAGTTCATAACTTCTGATGGAAGCACTCCTTGGATTCTTTCAATAATAATGGGATGCAGTTTGCTGTTTTGGAACCTCACTTCAGTTTGGAGGGGTTCCTGTACAGAAACCTACACATGTGGTTAAGGAAAAACACTTTGCAGTCAAATTCACAGCAAGAGGACAACATCTGCATGTTTGATTCAAAGATGGTCTACAAAAAAATTAAATTAGGTCTGGGGTGGAGGGCAGTATTTAAAACATGTTATTATGTCCTCCAGTCCTATCCCATCCCATTTTTAGCAGTTCTGTGCCAATATGATAATAATTACAGCATCTCTTTTCATGCAAAATGGACAATTTTCTCTGTAATGAGTGCAAATATGGTTCCTTTAATATCAGTCAGAGAAATGTGGTGATATGGACATGTTAAGGTTCTATTAGCAATAAATGTTTTCCTTTTCTGTTGGCAGGCAATGTTTTCCCCTGCTCCCAAATGAGTAAGTATTGTGTGCTCAAATTGGAGGAAAAACCAAACCAGTTTAGAAAAGAAAATGTTTTTGCTTTGCTCTCTAAACATTTTCAGTTCTAGCAGTTTTGAGAAACATGCACTGCAGTTTTAGACAATCTTAGAACTGCATGTAGTGGAAATAAATAAGTACAAAAATACCTTTTCAGGAATCATCTGATGAATGTGAAGAAAAACAAGCCCAAGACAAAGGTGAAAATCTAAATAACTATGTGAATATTAATCATTCAACAGCTCAGCAATAGATATCTGTGCAGAGACACAATTTCTCAGCTGGTGTAAATCAACAGAAACCTGCCAGAGCTGTGTTGATTTACGTCAGCTTGGGATCCAGCTTCATGCTACTCCTAAAGACGTCTCTTCAAGTTTGTTCATATCACTAAGAGAGGAGTTTTAAAGAACTAGAGGACAATCAAGCACCAATTTCCATTTATATTCATGGACAATTAATATCCAATCCCTGTTATTTGCTTTGAGAAATCTTTCTGTAAAGACACTACTTCACATTGCCATATTTTTATATTCATGTGGATAGATACCTTTCCTGGAATGTGTATCCAGTTAAACAAACATCAAAATTTTTGTCAGGAAAATTAAGTTCTAGTTACATGTGTAATAAAACCACTGCTTTTTTGAATGTGGCCTATGAAACATAAGGGAAGAAGTTTCATGTTTTGTTTGGAGAGTGGCAGCAGGTTTAGTAACAGAACTGCAAGAAAAATGATTGGAGTGAGAAGTTCACCATTATCTTAATTTACACAATACAGGAAGCCTGCAGTGCAATACATTGTGCCTGTTAATTAGTTTTCCACATAATTTTTCAGGTAGTATGGAAACACTGGCCAAGAAAACAAAGCAATTTTATATTAGAGAAAAAAAAAAAAGCATAATACAAACTAGAAAAATATAGCTGAGCATTTTTCCCCATTTATTTGTGTTCTCAGTTGTTTTTTATTAATACTCAAAAAGTAACCAGATATTTGAGGCCTGATAATACCTGAGTAATTTGAGCTTTAGGGCACTGAGGTGAGCACAGCTCTGGAGGGAAGATTTTCCCAGTTCTCAGAAGAATATCTTTTCATTAGGCAGCTATATTGCCTTCCCTTGGGCTGTAATTCTTTCAGTTGGATTATAAAATGTCATCCATAAGCACTTATGGACTGGGAGCAAATCCAATTAAGTCAGTGAGACTGGTGCATAAGGAAGCAGCAAAATCTGAACTTGGAAAGTTTTGGTAGCCTTGGCTGGCAGGGAGAAGCCTGGAGAATGAGAAGGAAACCAACTTGAACATGTCTGCAGAAATTACCCATGAGACAGCCAGAGGTGACGGTGAAATGGGAAATTTGGTGAAGGGCAAGGTCAGGAGGAAAACCTCCAGGTCTTTATTCCAAATTTCTCATCAGTCAGGACTGACATCAAAGCTAGGGCAGGTTTATGAGGACATTTTCCAGTCCAGTTCTTAAAACCCTTGAGGACAGACATGGGTTTACCCTTCAATCCACACATTTTTGCAGCAACACAGTGAATAAATTTTCATTTAGTCCAACCAGAATGTTCATTTTTTAAAACTTGCATCTGTTGCATCTTTTCACAACTTGAGGAGAGCCTGTCTTTGCTGTCCTGAGGGCACAGTGTTAGCTCAGGTACAGCCTGCTGCCCACCCTGACTCCAAGGGGTTTCCTTCAGAGCTGTGGCACCTCATCTGTTCCCCAACCTCTACTGACCCATGGGGCTGCACCACCTTATGTGTGGGATTTCACATTTGTTTTATTAAGAAATGTGTTTATTTATTTATTTAAAGTGGAAAGGGATGAGTTATTAGTGCATAAACTCTTGTAATAAACATAACGTGCTAAATTCCAGAGGGATTTTCCAACAGGACTTTGTGGCAGAACAATGGGTAGCTCAGGAGAAGAAGGATGCTCTTGCTGAATGGTTACTGGGGTTTGTGTGTCAAGGGCTTGGCACACAGACTTGAGTTTTCATCTTGGATAGAATGGCGTTGAAATTATCAGCAAGAGTAGCAGAATTCCAGGCTGAAAGACTTGCTGGCACATGGATATTCTGCCTCTCCAGCTGCTGGAGCAGTGTGACCCCAAGAGCAAGGCAAGTAAATATATTGTTATTCCATTTGTTGATGGGTTTGGTAGTGTATCATCAGAGAGAAGAGAAAATCTGCGACCACTTACTCCATCTGCCAAAATGCATTTGCTTTGTCATGACTCACATCAAGAGTTTACCAAAGCAAGGAGAAATTTCCTTTGTGTCAGGTATGGAGTGTTTCACAAGTGCTTTAAAACAATGCTTCTTCATATAGAAAAAGGAATCCAAAATAATGAACTCCCACTGTCCTGGCAATTTCTTTTCCTATGTTCTTCCATAAAATCAGAGTGAAAATTCAAATGTAATTTTCAGTACATTTTTAGTGTTTCTGCTATTTGGAATATGATTTCTATTCTTACATTTCCTTCAGTGCTATGAAAACATTTAATTTTTTGTAACATTTTCTGATGAAACTCAGAAGAATTTCTCACTGTCTAGGTATTGATAGATATCCACTAAGTAAACAACCACAGATTCCCTGCATGTCATGATTTATAGCAACTGATTTTAATTCAGTATCAAACTATTATTTAATTCAGCAGTAGAATTCCAAACATTAAATATAGATAAAAATAAATTTTCTTATGCAAGAAATCTATATTTTATTTTTTTTTACTTTGTTTTCTTTCATAACTCTGTGGATCTTCTGTCATGCTTTCTACAAACTCAAATTTATGACATTGTTTTCAGATTTAGATCAATTTTTGATACTTTTTAAAAATCCACCATTGAATTTGATTTTACTTTACTCCCTAAGAAAATTCTGATGCTCGTACCATAGCATTTCACTGATCTTTACTTGCTGGTTTTATTCTGGTTCATTCCCTTTTCCCTTCCTCCTAGATCTAGGGACTAAAAAAAATGGGTATTAGCAGGAATTTGCAAATATTGTTTTACACTGTGTAACCATAAAATGTTTCTGTACTATTTAGAGGTAAATAAATCAGTTGTGTAAAATGAATAAAAGCTATGAAACATCCAGATGGAGCTTTCTACCCATCAAAAAAGTAATCAGCATTTTGCTTAGCAACCACACTTTAATTATGCCCGTTAATCTTGAAGGTGGAAACAGAAGTGGGAAATCTGATGCTTAACTAAAATTGATTGACTCCATAGAATGTCCTTGAATAAAAGGAGGGGAATAACCTGGCCTTTGGAAAGCAGTACACAAAGAGTGTATAGTTAAAGTGATTTCATCATTTGAAGGTGTTTGATTGACCACTTGTGCCTTTGTGTTACAATCTTTAGTAGTTTAGTAGTAATCTTTTGAAAGGAAATAATTTTGAGGAAGGGAATAATAAGGTTGTTGCTTCTTCAAGTGAAGGAAAAGCATGTTTTACTATAAAAATGCAAAACAAACATATGGTGAAAACAGCAATCTTTTAACCAACCACTCTTCCCATTGTTTTTTCTAGAAATGACTGACCTGATGATAACCATGACTACCAGAACAAATTAGAAATAATCGGATCAAATATAAACCATTGGAATAATTTATTTTCCCTCTACAATTTGTGGGAAGAGGAACCTTCAGAGACAGAGTCACCTCATCCCCAAAAGTTGTTCAACACAGGACAGATGGATCACCTGCCCATTTGTGTGCCTTATTTGTATATGGTGGAAAAGAAAAGAGACTCCTCTGATAAAATGTGGATATCTACATCTGGTACTAAAATAATATGAATTACCACAGTCTAAAATATTCTAGAGGAATTTCTACTTAACAAGCTCTATTTCACTCCAGTTCCACAGAACCTTGACTGTGCAGATGAGCTGCAGAGACCTCAGTGTGGGTGAGATTTGTTTACAGCCCTTGTGTTTCAGATAGACTCAAACCAATTGCTGGTTTGATCAGATAGACCTAGAGCTCCTAAAATAAAAAAATAATAAGAAATTTTATTGGAGTCCTTGGCATTCATATGAGAAAAAATGGCAGAAGCACAGTAAAAAATAGAATCAAATTAATACATTAAATCCCCTTATTAAATTGATTCCTCAGGATTTGAAGGAATGAAACACATAAAAAAATTCTATCATGTGTGGTGACATGTTAATGTGATTCTTTGTCATGTTTTTTGCTGTTTCCATGCAATAAATATATATACAGGTATACATGTATACATGCATGTGCATAATAGTATATATATATGTATATGTTCATAAATATTTATAGCTGTGTATATATATATATATATTCAAATATTTTCAGGATATATATATATATATATATATATATATCCTGAAAATATTTGAATTATGAAAGCTCAAGGATCTTCTAGTGACATTGAGGTTTCTTTTACAGCCTAAAAGCTCCAAATCAAGCCAAATAAAACCTAACAAAAATGAAGAAAATATCCACTGTAGTGGAAAAATTAAAATTAATAGAAACATTGAGTTTTAAATAAGTAATATCTATGAAAACTGGGTGTGTTCCTGAACTCCTGAAAAGAGCTGGAAGAGATAACCCTGGAAACATTGAAGAAGTGCTGCACTAACCTGAAATTTTTTAAAATCAGTTCCACACCTTACTCCAGAGACAGTTTTTATAAAGATTACTGTGATAGTTTCCAGCATTGGGACCTCCTTGTGGTCAGCTGGCCTTTAAATCTGTGCTTAATTATGTGCCCAGTGTGGCTTTGGAGAGAGTTCTCATCCCTGAATGGAGAGCAGAGAAGTGGGATTGAATTCTACTGACTTTATGCCGAACACCCAGAAGTTAGCACAACTTGCCAGCTTCATTTTCAAAAAGCTGATTTCTGCGCATTTGATTGAAAGAACCTGTACGACACCAAGATCATCTTCAACTGCACCATCTGCTAGCAGCTCATCTTCTCACAGGAGCTAAGTGTGCTGAAAGCTGATTTGACAATTAATGCAGATGTCTCTTCAGGGGATTTCTTGTATATCTCTCTTCCACCAGCAAGATTATGATGCAAAAGTCTCTTTGGGCCTGATTTTTTTCCCATTCTTGTGGATTTTGAAACAGGACCTGCACAAATGATACCAAGATCTGCATGTTTGCAGTAAAGTCATGTTAGGGGTGAATCATAAACTCTCTCCTTCAGGCTAAGAAAAATAATCATAAATTTTCCATCCCTTGCTGAAATTTAAGAGTCTGCCAGGTGGCAACCACCATTTCAGAGACATATGCTTGAAAGGCAAAATATCTATCCAGCCATCCTGAGACAATTGCCCTCACAAATGTGATGCCAGTGATAGCTTTACTGGGTTTGGAGCCTTACAGCAAAATTAAACTCACAGTCCCAGAGGATTTTAAAAAACGATTGGCCCGATGCTAGAATCACTCTGTGCCAGTAAATGATTTATTTTTCTATTTTTTTTCGTCATCTAGAGTATCCCCAGAGTGACTGGGGCATTGTTTCTTGTCTTTTAAAAATGCAATTGGTATCACTGTGAGCAAAGATGCAAACATCTGGACCAGTGATGAGCCAAAATTTCTGATGTCTTTTCTAACACTTCACTTATTTTTCACATTTACTGGAGGATAAAAAGTAAGAAAAAGCAAACCAAAGCAATACTCACTGTGCACACACCCCCAGAAAATCGTGCACCTACTCCTTTAGAGGCCTGAATCAAGGCAGTAGAAAAAAGTCTCCTGGATTTAGCTGTGGTAATAGTTAAACATAAAACATTACTCCCTTCCAAACTTGTGTCAAAGCTCCCAGAGCATGACCTGGACAGATTTAATAAATATATGTCTGGTAACAGGAGGCATGCCTTGCTCCATGGTCTTCAGTCAGTGGGAATCTCCTACAGAACTTGACTCTCCACAGTTTTTTTTTGCAGCTCACAAAAGCATTAATTGATCTTATTCCTCCAAGCTAGTAATCCATGCTGCTTTTCAGGTGAAGCCTATCTGGTTTTCTTAGACTAAATAGGGTTACAGAGATGCTCTTCTCTTTGGCCAGCTGCCTCAGTAATTCAGGAGAGGGAGTAGGAAATTAAAAATTACTTTTGCCTAAACCAGTCAGAACCACATGAAAATATTTGCTTTTACTGTCATTCATAGAATAATGGAATCACAGAATTAGGCTGGAAAATGACTTTGAAATTGTAAAGTTCAACAATTAACCCAGCACCAATACTAAATCATGTCCATAAACACCCCATCTTCACATCTTTTCCATATCTCCATGACCAGTGACCCAACCACCACATCACATTGTTCTATTTTCATGACAGACCTCACTCCTTACTGCCAAAACTCTTTCACACTGCTTTTTCCAGTAGCAAAATGTGGCTTTAAAAGTAGAAAGATATTTAAAAAGTGTGAGCAGGTGCTCCTGGCTCCAGCAGGTATTCCCAGTAGATGTATTTTGTATTTTTGATGCACTGTGTGGTCTTACCTCAGGTGATTAGTGACTCTAAAAGATGTGACATTTGCAGCTCAGTGATATTATGTACTGGCCAGCACTGTATCAATCACAGCTGCCAGATGCAAATGCAGCCTGTCACCAAAAGAGATCCCTTTTCCCAAAGCAGTTTTATGTCAAGATGAGAGCAGCATGTTCCTGCCTGAGCTAACACAGAGAAACTCTAATAAAGTTCATGGAATTATACAAAACTTAATCTAGGTTACATCAACCTATATATGGTAAAACCCTCTTTTATCTATTCCCTTTTAAACTCAGCACTGACTGCAGAGATGTCAGTGATGCTCCTGTGGGGGGTGTGTGCAAATCTGGGCTCATGTGCTACTGCTGGAACTGGCTGGAATTTTTTCCATGGGCTGGTATTACAGCTGGGGAGCACTGGGACTGCAATAATTTAAGCAGCATTGACAAAACACTTTCCTAGAACAGCATCTGCAAAGTGTGAAGAA